TACGTGGGTTTTGGGAGAGTTCTGGAAGCCTTCTTCTTGCTCTTTTCTTCTTCTTCTCGTAGCCCAGCTTAAAGGTAAGTTTGATTTTTAACTGTTAATTTCTGGAATTTATAAGTTGGTTTGAATCTTTGGGGGTTATATAGCTTAAGGAAGCTTGTATAAACTTAAAACATCAAGAAGGGAGAATTAGAAAGGGATTTCTATTAAGAGAGTATAAATGAAGTTTTGATATAGAAAGGTTTTTGAAATTCTAAGGATGAATTTGACTTGTCATCAATCTAATTAAGAAGTATAAGGTGTTAGAATTGGAATTAGAACACATTGAAAATTTGGTATGATTTTGAATCTCGTATGGAATATAGGATTTTGAGGTTTAAGATGAAATAAATGAATATAGATTGGTTTAAGTATGTGTACTAGAGTTAAGGATGAAAAGGGGATGATATATGAAGTGTTTGAGAGGAAATGAAGTAATTTTCGGGTTGAAAATATGATTTCTGGGCAAGGGGAATCGGTACCCATTCAAGGGGAACCGATACCCCTTCAAACGAACAAGAATTTCCAGTATGTCATAGGGGAACCGATACCCCCATGGGGGGAACCGATTCCCCCTAAATGAAAATTGGGATTATGGGTTTAATAAGTTCGTTTTAGTTGCTAGTATCCAATTAGAAGGTGTAGGTATCTAATGATTGTCACGAAATGTACATTTATGTAGATTCTACGCATAAAGAAATTCCGGAACGTTTGGCAAGTAAGATCGATCAAGGGGAAATATAAGAGATTGGAATTGGCTAGTGAGGCCAGTGAGTGCATATTAGTTAGTTGATGGTGCTAAATGGAAACAAGACTTGCGACAAGTCTATTTCCTATGTTAGAATGCATGAATATATGATTATACGTTTATGAATGACATGAATTGTATGTAGGCATGAATATGTGTTGACATGCTTTTGAATGTAATGTTATGAGAAGTATGTGCTATATAAGGTATATATATATACATATGTGAAACTGAACTATGTGACTGCATGAGAAAGATATGAGCCATATGACATGATATAGGTGAACATGAGAAAGCAAAGTATGAGATATAAACTATGTGAGCATAGTAAAATATAATTATATTTTTATATGATAAGTGAAATAAACTGGATAATATTGATCTATAGGATGAAGTGAAAATAGTACACCAACTAGGGGATTTGAACATAAATGATAAGATGAACGTATAAGATAAGCTAGATGGGAAAGATTCATAGGTTTAAATAAAACTATAACACATGGGTTGAATGATGGAAATTTGTGAAGTTATAGGAGAAGATTATAAGAGCTATATGAAATTGAATTAAGTAACAGATTAGATTATATATAGAAATAATAGAAGTGAAATATGTTTATAAGTCTGCCCTAGATGAATACGAAATATAAGAGTGCTATATGATTTATATTAGGATAATCTTGAGGATATATATATATAGATAGATATGAAATGAAATGAAATGAGTTATATGAATACCCAATTATGTGATGAAATGGTGAATTACCTGAACATGTGAATATATATGTTTAAGAGAAGGCATACGATTAAGATATAAGCAATGTGACTATAAATATATGTGCTTTAAGTGATATGACTTATAAGTATTTCTATTATAATGTTACATGATATGTTATGTATGTTAAAGGAATTATGTGATGGTATAAGAATTGATAGGAAATATATATATGTGAAAACAAGTATATGTTACGAGACAAAACTTATGACTATAAGCTACGGGAAAGGGTTCTAGGTGTTTCGATATATTATATGAAGTATATGATCTTATGTGAACAAGATATGATAAGTATGTTTATATGAATAAAGGTGATTGGGTGAGAAATGATAGAAATTATATGAAAACATGACATATGTGACATGTGAATTATATGGAAATGATCTACGGTTAAGTGAACTACGTGACTATGTGACCATATGAAAAGAAGCTATGTGATATGTGATATGTGAAAGTGAATTACAAAGTTTATGTGTATATTTGAAATGAAATAAATGATAACGCCCATGTTATGTGTCATGAGAGCTAGGGGTATAGTTGGCATGCCAAGAGTCGAGGGTTTATTCGGTTCTTTAGGACATATGTATATCCTTTGGAACCTGTGTGAAGTCTTGAAAGACACATACTTGATCCATAGTATATGTATATGATTCTTAAGGAATTCTACGTGGTCCTTATGGACATAATTCTACGGGCACTACGGTGCAATTCTACGGGCACTACGGTGCAATTCTACGGGCACTTCGGTGCAATTCTACGGGCACTTCGGTGCATTTATACGAGCTGTGGTGACAGCATAGTGCACAACCTCTATAGACTCACATATCGATAGTTCTCACATATGTACATGGGCTAATCCAGAGATATGAACAAATATAAGTTAGTGGTATGATAAATGCTATAGAAATTATATGATGTTGTGTGTATAGTGTTTGATTGAAAAAGTATGTGATTATATGATAACATGTGAAATGATGAATTATGTGTATGTATGAATTTACTGCGATTAATCTGATATGATTCTATACGATATGAAAAATGCCTGGAATTGCTATAACATGATAGAACATAACATGCATGTATCAATATATGTTTTAAAGTGCATTATAAGTGGTTATGCCTCACTAAGTCTTCGACTTAGCGTGTGATTGTTTCACACGTAGGTTTCGAGAAGAGTAAGGAGGGATGCGGAGCAAGACAGGTCAGTTTTCCTTACCAAAAGATCAGATCAGAAATATTTGTCAAAGTATGTATTGGGTTATGTATAAAGTGTTGGCATGTAATAAGTCATTAAGTACGAGCACTCTGATAAAGTCTTTATTTTGATTTAATAAAGTTTTAAATTTCCCGGGATTTTTCTTAAGAGTCAAGGTTTGAAAAGTTAATGTGACACTTCGGACTCGTATCCGGGTCGGATACGGGTTGGGGGTGTTACAATTACTGGGATGCATCGATGCACCAATTGCATTCGATGTTTTTAGATTAAAAGAGTGCATCGATGCACTACCAGTGCATCGATACACCTTCAAATAATTTATGGGTTTTAACCTTGATGCATCGGTGCACTATGAATATGCATCGATGCACTCTGCCCAGAATCCTCTTTTTGAACCCGAAAATTAATTCTTTTTGGATTAAATCATTCATATTTCAACCCCTTTCATATTCCTAACTTACATATACATACTTAAACTCATTAATATTCATTTATCTCATCTTTAACCTTAATATCCTCTCCTCTTTAGGAATTTCAAGAATCATACCCTATTTTCCACATGTTTCAAATCCAATTCTAACACTTAATACTGCTCAATTAAGCCGATGACAAGTCAAATTTAGCTTCAATTTCAACTTATCAACTCCATTCTGGAAATTCACTCAAGAACTCCAAATCTTTAATCTTCCCTAACTCATTTATCTTTTGATTTTAAGATAACTTAAGCTTTCCTTAAGCTTAAGTATCACCTAAGAATCATAACCCAACTTTTAATTCAACAAATAACCAACTAATTAAGAAACTCACATTTGAGCTGGAGCTTCACGCACAAATAAGAAAGGAGGAGAAGAGAATTCTGGAAACATTGTTTTTGGTTTCCTACACTCCCACTTGTAAAAATATATATCCCCACTATCACATTTTTAATTCCTTAAATGATCAAATGACTATTTTACCCTTTAGTTCCTTTAATAATTACTAACAACTTTTAGGATATACTTCCAAATAAATAACTGAACTAATCCATTCTTCTACTTTAGTCACCAAATTCTGAAACTTTACAATTTGGTCACTAACCCATAGTTTGGGATGTTACAATATACCTAACCATTGAGTTAGACTTAAAATTTACTATAAATTTATCAAAAATCTGTATTTTAATTCATCAAATAAAACTAAGTGTCAAGTTGGAGAGGAAGGGAGTCGCGTCTAACCACTTAACCAAACTAGGCTGAAAATATATTAAAATTTTATTCAAATTAACATTTAACTATTTTTCATCAACACCTTAATATTATATCAAAATAATACTATGGATGACTGAACTTGAGATCTTATTAGAAAAATACAATATTTAACTATTGAACTAATTTATATAATTATTTCTTAATCAAATTAATATTTAGTTTAAATTGTGATTAAAATTGAATAACAAACTATAGTTTTTTTTTCACTTCGTTTTGAAATAAAATTAATAATTAAATAATTATTTATCTAATTGTATAAAAATAATATTAAATTATTATAAAATATAAATTTACAATATTTATTTAATATATAATATGAATTTTAAATTATTTTAAAACAAGTATATAAATTAATATTGATGATTTTAAAATTTAAATAACATTTAAATAGTTTAAAAATATTTTGATTTTCTAAAAACAACAATTATCGTTATGAAACATTTGGAAGCGATACAATCTGTTCTTGCACGAAGGTCGTCTTCAGCCTAGTTGGATTTTTCTTACCAACGCTCGTTCATTGCAAGCGACTTACTTGGTGTTTATAGCACAATATTCATCACATGCATCCTCTGCTTCGTCCTCATATTGGCTTAAACTTTCCCGCAATACATTCAATATTAATGCGGATGGGACATATGTGGTTGTTATTATGGTCGCAGTAATCAAAATCTTTAATACGTGTTGGAAAAGCTCGTTGAAGAACCAATTCTATGTATCTGTATTTCGCTTATAATACGCCCGGCTGAACTTATAGTATTGTACTTTCCGAGTCTCTTTCAGGCTATACGTGTTTCTTTAAAAAAATATATTTTAGTTGAGGGAATAAAACATAATTATACCGCCGCATTAGAGTGAAAACTTACAAAACATGCGATTCTACATTTGCGCTATTTTCTTTTTCCGGCCAGTATATATTAGCGCCATTTAGTCTATTAGATTTCTATAAATATTCATATCATTTCGAGGTTTTTATTATTATTTACGACGACGATGATGAAGATTCAAATGCTGCGCGTTCGATAAAAGGCTAATTACTCGTCGAGCTTCTTCAATCCATGTGGCGTTTAACTTCCAGTTTTCTAGGCAGAACTTGTGCTACGATTCGGTTGCTTTTACATGATACTTCGATCGAAACCCAAAGGCTTGCACTGGTTCGCTTCTACGTTCCGGGTTCAGCAGCAGCCTCCTCTAGCCCGAGCTTGTCGATATGGAGGCGGAAGAAGGAAATGACCAAAGAGGGTTTGATTGCGGCCAAGGAACTAAAGCGCCTCCAGTCCAACCCGGTCCGATTGAGCCGCTTCATCCTCTCTCACGTCTCGCGCTTGCTCAAGTCTGACATCGTATCTGTTCTCGCTGAGTTCCAAAGGCAAAACCAGGTTTTTCTATCCATGAAGGTACTCGTTCTGTTCGTAGAAATGTCGCAAAGAGAATTCTTTTTAGTTTTAAATTTGGGTTTCTGGTTTAATGGACTAAAGAAACAGGCAGTAAACTTGAACATATCGCATATTCGACTCGCGTTTTCTTGGTTTGTTTTTGCTTTGTTAGTTTGAATCGTTTATTGATTTGTTCGATTTGGAGTATGAAAAAGGGTATTTGATTATGAATTTCTGATTCTAAGTAACGGATCATTGTTGCCTCTATCGTTAAGAATCATTTGTAAATCTAGATTCTGATGCATAATAGGCATCTACTGTAAAATTTCTTATTAGTTGCTGCTGCCATGTTTCCATCCAAATTCTTATACTAAAATCGCTCGTCCATGTTACTTGGACTCTTCATTTTCGACGCATATTCGGGTCAAAAATTGAGTGTACTCTTAAAAGACAAATGGTTACGATATTCACTTCCGAGTTCGAATAACACAGGTGCTCATTACTCATTAGTATGCTCAAATTAGATGCTTGTAGTCTATTCCATCACATTTTTACTCCTGAACTATTGTTTTGTTTTTCAGTTATATGATGTGGTGCGTAAAGAAATATGGTACCGTCCGGATATGTTCTTTTACAGAGATATGCTTATGATGCTTGCTAGAAACCGAAAGGTAGACGAGTCAAGGCAGGTTTGGGAAGATTTGAAAAGAGAGGAAGTTTTGTTTGATCAGCATACCTTTGGAGACCTTGTCCGAACGTACTTAGACAATGGACTACCATCGGAGGCCATGGACATATATGATGAAATGAGACGATCCCCTGACCCTCCTTTGTCTTTGCCTTTTCGAGTAATCCTGAAAGGGCTTATTCCTTATCCAGAGTTGAGAGAGAAGGTCAAAGACGATTTCTTGGAGCTTTTCCCGGACATGATTGTGTACGAGCCACCAGAGGACTTGTTTGGAGATCAAGAGTCGAGAGGCGGGAGTGACAGCGAGTAGAGTATGCCGGTCACTTCATTACCTAGGCCTTGCTTATGAAGGGGGTTTCGGGTCGGAGCCGATACAAGGTAAGAGACAACATATTGGCTACTTCTCGCTTCTCCTTTGCTCCCGAAAGATAGAGAACACAACAGTATTGGTATCTGCATGAATTGCTTAACAATCTGAATTTTCCAATATCCATTGCAACATTAACTTATATGATAGTTTTGCCCCTTACATGAGTTGCATCTATGCCATCAAAATGGATGTTACAGCATTGGCGGAACTTGGTTAAATAGTTTGAATCCTTTTTTACCTTAATTTTAAATGTTTAATTTACTTTTTCTTAAAAAAAATTTGGGATTTAACTAAAAAATTTAATAACCATGAGAGACTTCATGAGAACAAAAATTATAGAATGAGATTTAACTATAAATATTCAATTTTTTTGAATACTAATATGATTTTTTTCAAAATTTTAGAGGTCAATTTATTTCTAGAAAAAACTTTGAAGGATCAAAGTCTACTTTTTAAAAAAATTGGGGGGCCTTGGCCGCCTCTAGTCCTCACTACCTTCCGCATACTTGCAGTTTTTTTTTATAGTAATTTTGAGTTATTTCAAGGTAATAATTGTATTAATCAATTAATAATATACATTTTGCATATACAACCATTTGAACACATAACATCTAAGGAGTAATATTTTCTTTTATCATTGAGGTTACAAAATAATTATTTTCAGGTTGGGTTTAAATTTTTTTGGATGATAACGTGTCACAATCCACTTTATTATATCATAAAAAATATTAAAAATTTAAGTTTGCATAAGTTTGAAAAATTTTAACCTTAAGGATTAGATGTTGATTTATTCTTTTATTTAATTCGAAATTTTATCAAGTGAACCCGAAGAAAAAAAATTGTTAATAAGGCATGGCACAATTGGGCCGGGGAGGACCATCAACCACAGTGTAAAACAAAGAAAAATAAACGACAGCGTTGATCCAAACATAAATGTGCATGCAAAGTGACGCCGGGTTGGGCCCGGCCGATTATCGGAATGTGGCGCGCAATTTCATAGCATCCAATCAAAATGGTCAGTTATGATTGTTTATGGTTAGGTATGGAATTGTATTACTTGCAAATTTAACATTTATCCTACATTAGCATGCATATTGGTAATATTTAACATTTATCCTACTTTAGCATATGCATTTTGGTAAAGCTCCTACTTAGTTTGTGAATATAATAAATACCAAATAATATAATAAAAACTAATTTAGTAACTTTCCAAAAAATCTAATCTAATGAGCTAACGAAGCTTTGATAGTTACAATAATGTTATGTAAATCAAACATTATTTCCATTTTTTTAGATAAAATCTGTAGATATTTTTTAGACAACAAAGATTAAAAAAAGAATTGATGAAATTTTATAATATAAAAATTTAATTAGATAAAATATTTAAATTTTAATTAATCTATTTTTCAAATATTTAATGATTCTAACGCAATTAAGGCTATGACTTAATGTTTAAATAATAAAACACCGTGTGTATATACAACTTTCCAATAATACACTATGGAGTAAAAATAACAACTCAACAAAAGGAAATGAGTTAATTCACAAGAAAGCTTTTCACTCGACTACTATGCGTCAACGCATGTCGTACTAAAAATGCCCTTCTCCCATGCCTCTTTCAGTTGCGGGTCTCAACAAACAATTCTCAGATTATCCGACATTTCTAAGAACTCCTATTAGATTTTCTTTTTCTCAATTCGCATTTAGTTTCTTGGTTTAATCCATAAAAAAGATTAATCATAGATTTGCCGACATGACTTCTTGTTACCGCCGTATAACGATTGGACCCACTGCACTGAACATTCCGGCTCAACCGCTGAAGTCAAGGAATCCGGTCGAGATTCCCGTCTTCCTCCCGCGCTCGTACAATAACCAATTCTCACTTGGAATCGCTCTGCGACCGAGAAATTGTCTGAGAGTTGAGGCGGTACGGCCAGAGGGAAGATCGGAGGGCGGAGATGACGCAGAGAAGGTGGGACCGGGACCAGGGCGTTGTTTTTACTCAGTGGAAGATCGAACAGTGGAGGTTGAAAAGGGAGAGAGGAACCGGACGGTCGAGGTGCTGGTAGCAGCGGCGATGACGGTGGTGTTTGGAGTAGGGAATCGGGTACTCTATAAGCTGGCTTTGGTTCCTCTCAAGCGTTACCCCTTTTTCTTGGCTCAACTCGCCACATTCGGGTAACAAAATTAACTGTCATTATTGAGTTCTTCTTCGTTTTTTATTGCTTTTGTTTAATTATTAAAAAAAAACATTATTTATTGTTTAGTGAGCGCGCGTTCTTATATTATTTTCCGGGGATAGTTCCGGTGCAGCAGACTAAAAAACGGTTAAAATAAGGTGTTATCGGTTTTGTTATTGTGTTAAATAATAAAATCGGAAAAAATTACAGGAAACATTATTAGGCGCTACCGGTTTTGTTATTATTAAGTATTTTTTACCCGGATTTTCGAAAAAAATACCGGAAACATTATTAGGCTTAAAAAATGACCGAATTAACATAATATTTTAGGTAATTACCGGAGAAAGTTAGGTAATTTTTACCGGTTTTATTATTTAAACGATAACAAAACCGATAACGCCTTATTTTAGCCGTTTTTAAGCCTGCCGCACCGCAGAACTTCCCTTATTTTCCCTTTTCACTACTGACAGAGCTACGTTAACTGCTTCCACATCAGTAGTTCTGCTTTACGTGTGCGTTAATATAATAGTGGTTTAAATGATACTACAATCCAGAATGTTTTGATTAGTGACTATCAGTGGTGACTTACAGGTAAAGCATTGCGAGGCTGTTTTTAAACCCACTTAAATTGATTTAGAGAATATTCTTTTTTAAGAGCAGTGATGCATTTAGCATTAGAATATGAAAGAATATGGATAAAGCTATAACACATAATGGAGTTGCATGATCGCCCCTGCTTTTTCCTAGGGGAAAATTTTAAAAGTACTTTTACTGATTTTAGCGGGCCTTCTAAACTTGAAAATCTATGATCATGTAGAACTAGTATGATTTGTATTTGAATTTCATAAGATGACATGTGATTTGTTAAAGAATATTAACTTAGTAAAGCAGAATAGAACTGAAAAAGAAACGCTAAAGGTTATATTGATCTTTACAACCGGTGTGTGGTGGGTTAAAATGGAAGAAAAATCCTTGGCCAAAAGCCAATATGGTAATTAGTCAAATATAAAAGAGAGGAGGGAATTAAAAGATGGTTTTTACAAAAAAAATTTAAGAAAAGAGAGGTTCTGATATGTTATCATTACCCGGACTTATTACACTTACGGTTGCCTGGTTGGTCAAGGTACCTTTGCCTTTATGTTAGACACTGCCCCATCTAGAGGAGCTTGCGTATTTGCTTTTGGTTTGTGGTCTTGGATAAACCTTCCCCCCTTTGGCATTTTGTATATCAGTTTCTATTTTGGTTATGAACATATCTAGTGGTGCGTATTCTGTATACTTTATATCTGAATTCGAATACCTTCTAATTTTTTATTATCAAAAACTATTCAAATATCGTCCATCTATAAATATAAGATTTAGCTATGTTAATTAATGCATGCATTCTTAAGAACTTATATCAACCAGGTTTGGGATTCAGAACCCCAGTATCCTCAAGCTGTGATGGAATTTCTTTTGTACTAAAAATGGGTTCATCTACAATTATAGTATTTTTTATTTAACTTCTGAGTTGTAGTTCTAAGTTCTTTTTGGGGGGGAAAGAAACAATCTTACATAAAAAAACTTTTCTAATTATTATCAAAATAAATATATGTGTATGTAGGGCAACAACAATTATTCTTAAAGTTTTTCAACAACTTTGAGTATGCTAGTGGTTTGTGGGTGTTTAGTATCTTTTGAAAAAAATGATGTCGCTATTTGCACTAATACTTTAGTATTAAAAATAATATCTTAGATACTGTCTTTGTTATTTATTTATTTGGTAACAATGTGTCTATGTTATGGAAACACAGTCGCACACACATAACACACACATACACACATATAGTTCTCTGATTTGAGTATATGTTCTTAGGCTATTTTAAACTATATGTATCGATCAGTTATGTTAACATTTACAAAAGCATGCGTATACCACCGTTGAGCCTGAGTAGGTTGACTCCCCTAAATTTTATGTTTTGTTACTCTCTTATTTTACTCAAAATGGACGTTAAATGACTATTGAAGCTGCTGAATATTTTATAACCAATTGATTCCATTAACTCAAAGAGTTGTATTTGTTAGGTGGAAACCTATTCCCTACTAATGCTTCTCACTCTTGATCTGTTGTTTTACAGGTATGTAGTTGTATACTTTTCTGTAATGCATCTTCGGTATCATGCTGGTATAGTCACAGATGAGATGCTTTCCATGCCAAAAGCTCCATTTCTTGGTGTTGGCCTTTTGGAGGCTCTTGCTACTGTGACTGGAATGGCAGCCGGAGGTTAGCTTATGCTGGTTTTTTTTTTTGTATAAAACCACCCTGTGCGAAACTAGTTCCCTTTATTATTTTCTTCTTAATTGACGTTTAAGTAAACGTGAATTTTTTGGGAGTAAATAGGATTTCATTTAAGTTTATTGGTACATTTTAATTCTAACATGCATGTTCTCTGTGTCTTTGTTCAGCAATACTATCTGGGGCATCTATTACAATTTTTTCTCAGGTAAGGAACATTTACTGCTTATAATTAACTTCAAATGGAACTCCCATTTCACCAAGGCACTAATGCCTGTAATGGGCCACAAATGTTGCTTTCAAGTATGAATAGCTAAAGGAAAAAGATTCTTGGTCTGAAGGCCGACTCTACATCTATGCCTTAATGACTGAGGACGATATAGTAAACCAGAAGCTATTTTTGAGAGAATAATAGCTAAAATTATCTTAAAACAACCAAGTAGATTTACACATGAAAAGAAGCTGAACAATTCTGAGAGATGGTGAACCACATGCTTTTTGGGAGAAATGATAACTAAAAGATCTTAAAATGATCCAAGTGGATCTGGACATGTAGAGAGGCTGAACAATGTTGTTTAAAAAAGGGCACTAAAAGCTATAAAAATGTCCAAGTTTAATGGTCAGAAATGTAGAGTCGAAGGAAGAAAACATTACATTTAGTGATTTCAGTCAAGCTTGATTTCATTGTTCAATGCTGTCAAGCTTGATAGAGTTTGTAAAACTAAAAATGCTTATGCATAAGCACTGAATAATTAGTACTTTGGTCTATGACTTCTGCAGACATTTCTTGTGTGCAAATACTCTTTTCCATTATTTTTCTTGGGAGGAGATATAGAGTAAATCATTTACTTGGATGCTTTCTTGTAGCTGTTGGTGTAATCGTAACTGTAGCAAGGTAACTTGAAACTGTTTTGAATTCTGGTATTCTATCGACACATCTATGAATTTTGCTGGTTTAGTTACTAGATGTTCCTTTTGGAACTCTCAATACTTAATAATTTGCAGTTTTCAGTGAGGTTAATTGCTGCAAGTCTCGTAAGAACTAGCATACACTGAAAATTATATATATTGCCTGCATTTTTGCAGTGGATCCAGCACTGGTCATTCATTGAAGGAAGCTGGCGTATTTTGGAGTTTAATGATGATAATTTCCTTTTTGTTGCAAGCAGCTGGTACTGTGCTCAAGGTTATTTTCTTTCTCGTTGAAGTCTAAGAAGCTAACCATATTTCTCAGTTCTATTGTAATTCAATACTTTAACAAGCTATATTTGAACCATTTGTAGGAAGTAATCTTTTTGGATGGCGCAGAGCGATTAGAAGTATGATGTTTACTGTTGGAAAGCTCCCTGTATCCTGTTGGTCAAATCAAAGAATCAAACATGAAAGATGATTATTTTCTTGAATTTGTTGCAGGGTGGTTCAGTGGATCTATTTGTTGTAAATTCCTACGGATCTGCATTTCAAGTAAGTATTGATGTACTGAGCTAGTGTTAAGTATAACCAAGGTCCATTTCAATGGCTCTTATTATTATTATTATGATTCTTGATTATATGTTAATATTCATTGTACCATGTTATTGCAGGCCTTATTCATTAGCCTACTTATACCTTTTTCCCCAAAACTGTGTCATTCCATTTAGTCAGCTAGCAAACTATCTTAAAGATGGATCAGCTTGTTTCTTGAACATTGGTGGTACCTTATCAAGCGGTAAGGCATACTTATTTCGTTATATTTCTATCCATTGTAAAGGCAATTGCTACTTTGAAATTCTGCTCCCCACAGGATGTGATGGTGCGCCACTACTGCCTTTGCTGTTCGTTATCGTCAACATCAGTTTTAATATATCATTGCTACATCTACTCAAGATATCTTCTGCAGTTGTCTCCTCACTTGCATCCACTTTCTCAGGTAAACAGCGCTCAACTAACTCTTCATATCTATCTCCAAGTCCAACTGGCCATGTAAAAAATATGTGTTGTTGGTTTGTGTGATTTATATTCTGTTGTGGAACCCCTGCTGCAGTACCTATTGAAGTCTACATCTTCACATTGCCTCTGCCATATCTCGGTGTAGCATCATCACTTCCAATTGGTTTCGTTGCAGGAGCAATCATCCTAGTTATGGGGTTGCTCATCTATGCCTGGTCACCATCCACACCATCCAGTGCCTTAACATCACCTCCCAACTAGAATGTGAGAAAGCCATTGTTGTATAATTTGTCTGGCAAGTGAAGGTGAATCGGACAAAAAACGATAGTATTTTTTGGGTAACAGATAGGAGAGTTAATATCGATTCTAGTTGTTTAAGAAATATAGGAAATCAAAGTTTATTGATTTTTACATAATGCCGATAAAGTTCATTCTTTAAAAAAAAATTGATTTTCCCTCGACACATCGAGACTGATGCTCGTGCTAACAGGTCTATAGATGTGCACATATCTTCCTTTTGAAGATAATTTCTGTGATTTTTCATTTCAAGTCCCTTTTTTTTCTCAATTTGGGATTGTCAGCACAGCCATGGCCAACTGCCTCTAAAACGCCAAGTAAATTCTCATACTGTAAATTAGAGTACCATATCAAGGCAAATCTATAGATAGTTCGTAAACACATGCAAATCACACAATTCAAACAACATTTGCCATGGTATTACGCTATTAGCTAATAGCTAATAGCTAATAGGCCCTTAATTCGAATAGTTCATACAAAACCCTAAACTCCCAAAACAAAGAAGATGACCTCATATTATTTAGATGTTCACTTATCTTTAGTAGAAACGCCGTATTTCTCTTGCATCTTAGTGATTTCCTCTTCCTTCTTCTTCTGATCGAACTTCTTGCTCATCTTGGCCTGCTGATAATACAACACGATCAAATACCTATTGGCGACGTTGAAACCCGAGAGATGATCCACGGCCGTTTTGGCATCGTATATGTCCTCGTATACAACGAATGCGGTTCCGCGCGTTTCTTTGCTGGTCCCGATGCGTATCTGGCGGATGGCTCCGTATTTGCCGAAGATATCGTACATCTCCTCGCTCGATATGTTGAATGGCAGGTTCCGAACGTAGAGCACCCGGTTGACTTCAGGCGGCAGCCGAGTGTTGGCCTTGCGTAGACTGATTGATGCCATTCGAGCGGAAGAGATAAACGCCCAAGCTGACGCTGGTATGAAATTGAGAGGATTGGAAAAGCTGAGAGGAGTTTTAGAGGCGGGGCTCGGAGGTAAGTGGCGGTGGATTCCTTTTATGGAGATAAATATGGGATTATTGGGTTAACAAATAACAATCCCAAAAATTGTGGGCTTGTAAAGGCGTCATATTTCCCTTCTTAATAAATTGAAATAATATAAAGTATAATCAAAATAATACAAAGTGTAAATTTGTAATCGAATTTAGAATTAAAATATATTCTAAATTTTAAATTAAAGATATTGTAAATTAAACATACTTGAACTAACATTTTTTAATATTTTATAACTATGTCAATCAAACTAAAAATAATCAATCATATTTTTGAATTTTAATTTTATATTAATATAATAAATTTAGAACATGAAAATTTAAATATATTAATTTTTTTTATAAATGAACACATATTTTTAAAAATCTAAATATATATATATATATATATATGAAAATCTAAAATTTTATATTTAAATATATCTAAAACAATAAAAAAACAATAAAATTCAAAAATTCTAATTGTTAAGCAACATTATTGCCTTCAAAATGTTCATTAGATGGGAGAGGAATCAATTTGCACCCATCAAAGTTTTCCATCCTAAATTTCACTCCAAAATTTTCATCGTCCTTACTACAACAAAACCAACTAAAAAAAAGTTATAAAATTAAAGAAAAAGAAAAATAGCTTAAGCCATCTCCTTAATATATGAACATACACTCTCCCATTCTCTTGGTTTTCACATGAGATTTACATGCAGCTAGTAAATCAAATTATGTCGATTAAACTTTTCAAGTAAATATAATATTTTTTATAAAAACGACATAATCTAGTTCCCTAACCACCTACATAAAAACACATATGTCGTATATATTAATGGTTCGAATGCACTGATACATGCATATATATTTTCACGTCAACTTCTTCATTCTCATAAAAGCTGTGATTCAACAGAAAGTCCTTTTTTTTCATTTTAATCGGTGGTGAAAAATCCAAATGACTTCGTCACGTCAATTTTTTAGATTTGGTTCTGGGTTCCCTTTTTTCATCATTGCCACGAATTCGTCATATTTTATTCTTCCATCCTGGAAAAAATATATCGTATTAAACATTAGACATAACAACAGATGCAATTAAAGCATAGATCCACTATATGTACTAATTTACGTAAATGTGTATAGCTTACATTGTCAGTCATCAGAAAGATTTCCTTGACGTCTTTGCTATCAATTATGCCATATTCACGGAGAGCTTGTTCTAGTTTTTCAGTAGTGATGTACGTGAAACAAAAGTAGTTCTTCAGTGGAATCAAATAAATCTACAAACGGAGCTGAATAGATGACATGACGTATTAAAAGTGTATGGGGGTATCTTTTAGGGTTTGAGATTGTGGATTATAGTTTTAGGGTCTATACTTTAGCAGATAGGGCTTAAACACTAATTCATATGCAGAAGAATTATAGTGTTTATCAAAGTGCAGAATCTTTTTGCAGAAGACATATAAATGAAATAACGGGGTTAGTTTTATAATAATTACTGACCCGCTATTGTCTTTATCAAAGTGCTGGAATGCACGGTAGAGATGTTCTTCTCTATCCATTCGACTCATATGCATTGTTGCTGTGATGAACTCTTCGTAGTCTATCGTTCCATTCCCGTCTGCATCAGCCTGTAATAATCGAATCTAATTAAATTTAATCGGTTAAATGATCGATATATATAAATTGAGAAAAAGATTTACTGCTTCCACTAATTGTTTAACTTCATATTCTGATAGTTTTGTTCCTTTCTTAGCAAGCCCGTGCTTGAGTTCTTCAAGTGTTATCGTCCCACTGTTATCGGTATCCATGCCCTTAAACATCTCCTTCAATCCCCTTATCTCTTCCTCTTGCTGGAAGTCAAACTCAATTAGTGTAGGAGTTCAACGTGGCAATATGGAAATCACATGTGCATGTCGGCAAGAAATCAAATCTTTGCAATTAAAATATCTAGAAAAGTCTTGAAATCCTTAGCTAAGGAATTCAATCATGCGGCTAAAAGAATATAGAAGCAATTTAAGTCGGTTTATTACAACTATATATACGTATGAAATCTATATGAAAAATACGTGGTGGAGAAATCAGAAAAGAGTGAGTAACGAGTGAGAAAAAAATTAGAGAGAATTGTAAGAAAAACTTAGCAAAGCTATAAGTATTTTGTGAACTAGCAGAAGCTAGTATTGTAATATTTCATTGTAATATATTTTGTTTCATATCAATAAAAAGTTCGAGTTATAAATTACCAAGAGCCCATTTATGCTTCCAACACCTCTGATAAACACCCTGAGATCACCTACAAATTTCGGAAAAGAGTCAGTTACTAATATATAATTTATCCATGTACTCTCGTCTGAGAATGTGTCGGATATGAGTATCGGACTTGGATAGTGTTTTAAGAAAACGACTAGTACCTTCAAGGCGACTTTCTTGAACTGGTTCATGGCTTTGAACTGCTTGAGCCTGGTTAGCACTGCGTTGTCAAGCAGTGTATCCTGGTTCAAGGCTGTCCGGTCAAATGGTGCATTATCTGAACCTCCCTTCGAACATCCTCCATGTCCTCGTGGTTAACCAGTTTTCTCTTGCCTATCGTCTTGCAAGCGAATTGCTCCCCTGTGGCTTTGTTGGTGTACAGATACGTGACCCCGAACTGTCCCCTGCCCAGTTCTTTGCCGATGCTGTAGTTTGCTCTGATGTCTTCCATTGGCCGTCATAACACCGGTCCGATCGGTCCCGTCTTCGAAGGCTTGGTGGTTGAGGCTCCTTGATGAGACGACGAAGGCGCGGTTTTGTAGGAAGTCTGTTGTGAACGAGAACAGGTGGGGTCGTTGTTGTTATTCCCACCGGGCGCGGTGGAGGTGTCTACATTTTCGCTGTTGTTGCGTTTGCCACGAGAACAACAGCCGCCCATCTTTTGGAAGGGAGGCGAAAAGGACAGGGCGGCGTCAAGCAGCAACGGCGTATAGGGATAAAAGAAAAGGGAACGAAAGAGGAAGACAATCTTAGGTGGATTGATGGTGAAGGATTTTAGGGGGGAGAAACAGTTTATTCAGTTTTGTCATTAGGAATCTGTTGGAAAGGAAACGAATAAGATCCGTCGGCTAAAAATAGGGTACTTCTTGCTGTCTGTCTGGGAACATACAACAATGGTTGTCTTTGTTCTTTACTTATCACTAGTTTTCAACAAAGTTTAATTTCTAACAAGTATCACTGTAATTGTTGTCTTCATTCTTCGTTGTACCTTGTATTAGGTATGTTTACGGGAAACATTAACTGTGCGTTCGGTTGAACGAAATAGAATATGCACGCCCATCATATTCCTTGCACTTGCAGTTTCAAAACTTACTACCGACGGTTAAATGATTAGTGGTTCACGCACAACTACGTAAGGGAGATTCACGGTGTTTGAATGTAGTTTATTTTATCTAATTTGAATAAATATAAGAATAAATGATTCATCATTTCTAATTTAAATGTAAAATTATTATAAAATAATAATAATCAAAAGTAAAATTCGAAATTTTCTCTTTTTAGTCGTAGAAAAAGAAATAAAAGCAGGAATAATAGATGATATCCATTTCATCCTCTTTCTCGAAAAGAAAGTATCTTATTATATATTTTGTGTCCCTATTATCATGTGACACTTATGAATTGATGAATATTCATGGTAACAATTGTAAATATACCAATTTAAGATTTATTGTGTTTATATGTTTTACCTTAGTTATAAGAAGAGAATGTATTATATAAGATAATATCGTTTTAATATTAGATAAGACATAATACAATTAATATGTTGCAATTACCAGATGGCTCATGCTGCCAAAATCATGATATGCTAAAGACTCATGCGGTTACCTTCTTTAATTTGTTTGCTAGCGAGATGACTAATCGCAGATTTATTAGCAGAGAATGCAATTTTATCAAATGTTCTGATGTTGATTCGCAAGGTATTTTGGTGGATGTTTCGTTTGGTGAGGTTCGTAGTATTGTTTTTAATATGGCTCCTCTTAAAGCGCCGGGTACGGATGGTCTTCATGTGGCTTTTTTCTAAAAGACTTAGAAAGTTGTGAGCTTATCGGTTTTTCAATTTGTGAAGCGGTTCTTCGATGAAGGGATTTTAGATGATTGAGCGAACAATCCCTCTTGTATTAGCCAATTCAAACCAGTTAGCTTGTGTAATGTCTTGTATAAGATCATTACTAAGCTTATTGTTTGTCGGTTGAAGCTAGGGGTGTTCACGGTCGGTTTGGATCGGTTTTTGGCTATAAATTCATCATATCCGGAAGCATAAATTTTTGCGGTTTGGATCGGTTTGGATGTTTCTAAAAAAATAACCCGATCTGATCCGATCCAATTAAGTGCGGTTTGATTCGGTTTGGATTTGTGCGGTTTTTGGATTCTAATTTTTCAAAATTCTATGTTTTTATTCCGGTAAGTGTTCGAGCTTCAAACGAAAGAAAAGTTTGTTATTATTCCATTTTTTCTCTTATCACATGTATTGCAGACTAAGTAAACTACTGCTAGCAAAGTGCACTCGAAAATATATCCATTTTTCTTGAAAAAAACAGTGTCTAATTGGTCTAGCAGGGAGCTTACCCACTCTTCAGTTCTGATATTGAAACATATGCAATAGACATGCCATATCAGAAACAGCCCCTACATAGACATAAAATGCTGAAGTAAAATACTTTTAACACGGAAATAAATATGAACAGATACACCTAGAGGATTCAGAAACAAGAACAATTTTAAAAATCAAATGATACAAACATGCCATAGCACTTGGATAACACAAAAAAGCAATGTATCAATAATTGAAGGATATATATATTGCTGAAACAGATGTATTAGATAAAACATTAAAGGAATGTTTCATGTAATGTATCATGATCATTTAGCATGATCCTGCCATTGGAAATAATATAGCATGTTTTATCAATGATCAACAAAAAATAGTAGAACGAGATTTCTATGCTGACAAAGAAATTGCAGGTCAGAATGAGAATAATGCTTCCCAGAATTTAAACAATGACAACAACACCACCAATGACAATGCAAGCCAGAATGATAACAATAAGGGTGTTTAGGGAAACACAAACAACCAGGAAACCACAAATCAGGATGAAACTAATACGGCTCATACCTACAATAATGAAAATGCAGGTCAGAATGAAAACAACAATGCAGCTCAAAGCAACACTCACAACAATGGGAATTCGGCTGAGAATGACAAAAATAAATGCTTCAAAGACCTACAAGGACAACAATGCAAGTGACGATATTAGGACTTCGACAGATACCAAGACTGGGGGAAATGATGGTGAGCATGTAGCTCCAGAATGAAAATGATGTTCTGTTGTTCACTATATGACTATAATTGCCATCAAAGTTTTGTTTTGTGCTTGCAATGATAATATAAATGGAATTGTTTGTTTTGTACTTATAGTTCTACTTCTAATTATTAACACTCCAAGTTCCATAAGCCACATATGTATATGTTTAAACTGTGTTCTCCATCTAGCAAAAATGAAAATCATAGGCTTTGATTCAACAGAATATCTTTCTGAAAGCCTTTTGTTTAAGAAGGAAAGTTTCTTTTCCTGCAAATGTGTCTAGATCAAAAAGAACATAACCAGAAAGAATAATGAGAAGATTTTATCCTCTCTTAATTTACAAAATTTTTATTAATTCGTCAAATTAAATGATCTCGGTGACACCATAGCAAAGAAAAGAACTGTCCTTGGCTCACCTTTCGCTGAAACAACGATCAATCAGAAGAGCATTTTCTTGAGTTTTCCTGGCAAACAAGCAAGAAAATTACTCAGCCCAAACTGCAATCGAAAAATAAAGCGGTTAGCAATTGACTGCATTAAGCAAAACAGGAGGAAAACAAGGTGCAATGCTGAAAAAAACATAGAATGAGAAGAGGTTAAGGCTAAAACCTATTGTCGCAAATCAGAACGCCCCCCGCTTGGCTTTCTGTTCAAAGGGTCAAAGTACAGAGGAAAGGAAATAGGATGAGAACTTGAGAAGAGGCGGATACGCGAAGAAAATTGGGAAAATGGGTTAGGGTTCAGTTTTTACACAAGAACTTGAAACGATGTCGCATGGAGATAGCTAACTATCGGTTCGGTTCGGTTCGGTTCGGTTTGGATCGGTTCCGGATATTCAAACCGAAATCGAACCGAACCGCTCTGTTTAAAAAAAAAACCAAACATACTAAATCGGTTTCGGTTTTTTTCGGTTATCGGTTTTTTGGATCGGTTTTCGATTATTTTTTTGGATCGGATTGGATTTGAACACCCCTAATTGAAGCCTCTTTTAAGGTTGGATGGCCATTAAAGTAGACTTTGAAAAAAACGTATGATTGCTTAGAGTGGGATTTTATTGAGGATACTCTTCATACGGTTGGCCTTCTTGGAAAAATCATTGATCGAATTATGTTTTGCGTTAAATCAGTATCGACTAAAGTACTTTGGAACGGTGAGCTTACAAATGTGTTTAAACCTACGAGAGGGATACGTCAGGGAGATCCATTATCACCCTAGCTTTTCGTTTTGTGTATGGAGCGTTTGTCTCAGGCGATTAAAAGGAAAATTGAAGAGAGGGAGTGGAAACAAATTCGCCTTTCGCGCAATGGACCCTGTTTGTCACATTTGTTCTTTTCGGATGACTTAGTTTTGTTCGCTGAGGCATAGATGAGCCAATTAGGAGTTATTAAGGAGGTCCTGGACAGTTTGCATTCATTCTGGCAATCGTATCAGTGTTGAGAAAACAAAACAAAAAAAATCTCCAAGAATTGCCCGAGTAATGAACGAAATAGTATTGCACGAGGCTTTGGGTTTGAGGAGGTTAAAGATTTGGGAAAATACCTCGAAGTTCCCTTACTTCACAATAGGGTAACTAAGGCAACTTACTCATACTTGCTTGACCTACTCAACCAACGTCTTTCGGGATGGGCGGCGAAAACGCTATTCTTGGCTGGGCGTCTAACGCTTGCTAAAGCAGTCCCTCAGGCTATACCAATGTATGTCATGCAGTCTACTTGGTTTCCTAAGGGGTTATACGATGAAATGGAAAAAAATATTAGGAGATTTGTTTGGGGCTCGAACAATGGAAATGGAGGTATACCTCTTGTAAAATGGGAAACTATGCAGAAATCCACTGATGTTGGGGGGCTAGGCATGAAGAATTTGTATTGGCAGAACAAGGCGTTCCTATTGAAAGTTGGGTTTCAGCTGATTACAAGGTCGGAGAAACTCTGGGTTTAAACTCTTCGATCGAAATATAAATGGGAAGATCCTCTACGGTTTACATTGTACGGAACTAATGGATCTCGGATTTGAAAAGGATTGCAATGTATTTGGTCTGATTTAAACGAAAGCATTGCATGGAACATTCGGGATGGCAAAACAACCGACTTTTGTTATGATCACTGGTTGGAATCAGAAGAACGTCTTGTTTTCGCCTATACAGGATCTTGTTCACCAAATCCAACACCAATTTGTGACATGACTCTACCTTCTGGCTCTTGGGATTGGGAAAACTTATCGACTGTGTTGCCGGAGCGGAGCATATTATACAGCTTATTGCTATTGTTAAGCCCCCTCAAGCTCATTTGGGAAGCGATGTTCCTGGTTGGCGGTGGGAAGCTAATAGGTCCTTTACAACCAGGTCGGCTTATAATTCTTTTATACAGCCTGAAGCTTCAAGGTTAAATTGAACCGCAAAGGGTAGGGACCTTCTTATGGTTAGCCGGCCATGAAAGCTTGCTCACTAATGTGGAGAGATCAAGACGACATATCTCAAACACGATTCAGTGCCAAATTTGTGGTCGAGAAGCGGAAGATATCGACCATGTGCTGCTTCGGTGTTGAATGGCTAGTTATACTTGGATGAGGATAATTC